TCCTGGGCTCAAGCGAGTCTCCTGCCTCTGCCTCCCAAGTAGCTGGGACCACAGGCGCCCGCCATAACACTTGGCTAATTTTTGGTTGCAACCATCATTGTTGTTTGGTGGGCCCAGGCTGAATTTGAACCCACCACCTTAGGTGTACGTGGCTGGCACCTTAGTCACTTGAGCCACAGGCGCCGAGCCAAGAGTTAACTGATTAACAGACTGTGAAAAGCTGACTGCTTATCTACCTACAGGGAATTCTGAGAAGCAATCCATCATAGAACATTTAGAAAGGTTCAGGGATTCGGAACCCACAAACCTCTGGAAGTTGGGGGAAGGTAAAGTTGGGGCTCAAAACAAATGGAATGGTAGAAGTCTGCTTTAAAAACAGCTCAGCCCACCAAGAGAAGAAAGGAAGAAAAGGACTATAGAAAAGTTAGAAAACAATGGACAAAGTGGCAATAGTAAGTTCTTATTCATTAATAATTACTTTAAATGTAAATGTATTAAATTCTCTAACCACAAGACAGTAAATGACAGAATATATTTTAAAAAAGTAAGATCCAGGGTAACCGTGTCAAGATGTGGCTAGAGATTCTCTCTGGACTTGCGGCCACAGGCTTTTGCTTGCTCATCCCTGGAGTGGCCACCACGTACATCAACAAGTTCACTAATGGTGGCAAGGAAAAAAGAGTTGCCCATTACATACAACAATGGCAACTGATGGAAAGAGACAGGTGCATCTCTGGAGTTCATTGCTCCTATGTGTCAAAGAGTTTGGAGAACATTGATTAAAGAAGCTCATTCCTGATGGATGAAAAAATAACTCAGTAATGGTCATCTACCCCTACTAGAATTTTATACAGTGTCTTGTGTAGCATGCAGTATGTTATATACTGCTTAATAAAAATAAAAGAAAAAAGAAAAAAAAAAGTAAGACCCAACTATTTGCTCCCTGCAAGAGAGTCACTTTAGATTTAATGGCAAATATAGGCTAAAAGTGAGGGCTGTAAAAAAATATTCCATACAAATGGAAACCAAAAGAGACCAGGAATGGGTATATTTATATCAGCATAGACTTTGAGTCAGAAACAGTCACAAGAGACAAAGAAGATAATTATATAGTGAGTAAGGGGGCAATTCATCAAGAAGGTATAACAATTTTAAATATACAGGAAACCAACATCAGAGCACATAAATTTATAAAGCAAATTTCAACTGAACTGAAGAGAGAAATAAATAACCATACAATAACATTAAGAGATTTCAATACCTCAATGTAACAATGAATAGGTAATCCAGGCAGAAAAGCAATAAGGAAGCAGCAGTTTTAATAACACTATGAAACAAATAGACCTAACAGGTATATATGGAACTTTCCATCCAACCATAGCAGAATATATAATACATTCTCAAGTACACACAGAATATTCTGCAGGATACATCATATCTTCAGCCACAGAACAAGTCTCGACAAGTTTAAAAAGATTGAAAGCATGTGAAATATACTTTCTGACCACAATAATGTGAAACTAGAAATCAATAACAGGAGGAAAATTGGAAAATTCACAAATTCACAATGGAGAAAAGACATTATCTTCAGTAAATGGTTTTAGAAAAATTGTATATCTACATGCACAATAATGAAATTAGACCCTATCGTATGCCACACACAAAATCAACACAAAATGCATGAAAGACTTAAAACATGAGACCTGAAACTATAAACCTCCTCGAAGAAAACATGGGGGGAAAGCCAAGACATTTATCTTGGCAATCATTTTTTGGGATACGATCTCAAAAGGACAGGTGACAAGAACAAAAATAAACACATGGGATTTCATCAAAATCCTAAAAAGCTCTGCACAGCAAAGGAAATAACATTTTCAAATGAAAAGGCAACTTATAGAATGGGGGAAATATATGCAAGCCATATATATTTGATGATTGGTCAATATGCAAAATACACAAGGAACTTGTACAACTGAACAATAACAAAAACCTATAAATACCTGATTTTTTTTTTTTTTGTGTGTGTGTGTGTGTGTAGAGACAGAGTCTCACTTTATCACCCTTGGTAGAGTGCCATGGAGTCACACAGCTCACAGCAATCTCCAGTTTCTGAGCTTAGGCGATTCTCTTGCCTCAGCCTCCTGAGTAGCTGGGATTACAGGCAGATTTTTAAAAGACCTCAGTTGACATTGTTTCTGAGAAGACATACAAGTGGCCAACAGGTATATAAAAATAGGTTCAACATCACTAACATTAGAGAAATGCAAATCAAAACCACAATGATTTTGATCACATGTTAGGGAAGTTAGTGTTAAAAAAACAAAAGATAGGCTAGGCTATTCGAGAAAAAGAATCTTTGAAACTGCACAAGGAATGTAAATTGGTACAGTCTCTAGGGAAAATAGCATGAAGTTTCTTCAAAAAAATTAAAAAACATAAATACCATAGGATCCAGCAATCCTGCTTCTGGGTATACACTCCCAGGAATTGGAATCAGGGTCTCTGAGATATCCCTGCACTCTCGGGTTCACTGCAGCATTCTTCACAGCGGCCAAGACTTGGAAACAACATAAATGTCCACTGACAATGAATGGATAAAGAAAATGTGGTATGTGCATACCATGAAAAATTATTCAGCCTTAAAAAAGAAAGAAACCTTGCCATTTGTGACATGAATGGATCTAGAGGATATTAGGCTAAGTGACATAAGCCAGACTCTTAAGAAAATACTGTATGATCTCACTCTAAACTGGTGGTTGCCAGGAACTGGGTTTTTGGTAGTTTTTGGTGTCTCTCACTTCTGCTCCTCCATGAGAGGGACTCACTTCCAACTCTCTTTGGAAGTGCTCTAACTTTCTCTTTGGAAAAAAAAAAAAGGGGAACCATTCCCACTGCTTCACTTGAGTAGGCTAAAAAAAAAAAAAAGGCAGAACAAAATATTTGTAGTA